CAACCATCTTTGAGAGTTCTTGGAGAACGGGAGAAGTTCCAGCAGATTGGAGGAGAGCCAATGTGGTCCCAATCTTCAAGAAGGGAAAAAAGGATGACCCAAACAATTACCGTCCGGTCAGCCTCACGTCGATACCAGGCAAGATTCTGGAAAAGATTGTTAAGGAAGTAGTCCGCAAGCATTTAGAAACAAATGCTTTCATCGCTAATAATCAACATGGATTTATCAAAAACAAGTCATGCCAGACTGTCAGCTCAGGGCGGCTTACAAAGGCACAATTCGATGCCAGCATAAACACAACAATGGATAAAACATGTAAACAGCAATTATAACAATTAAGACAGTCAGTATATACATCAAAATCAATAAAAACAATCTAATGCTCAGTGTTCGCAATGGGAGCCATGTTCCAACTCATAAAAAGGGGGAAAGCAATTTCTACTCAGTGTGTGTGTGTGTGTTTGCTTACTTTCTTGAGGGCACCATATATAGTTCCCTTATCAGAATTTAACAGTGATGGAATTTATCACTGCTGATCAGACATTGTGCATTTTACCACAGATTTTGGACTTTCACCTTACTTTTTTAACATGTGCTTTCCATGTAGATCTGTATTGCAAAGTGCATTAGAGATGTGTGTTTTTAGTCCCCCCTACCCAATAGCACTATGTTACAAAAATTGAAAAAATCAATTCCTGTGAAAATTGTGCAGTGCTTACTTTGAAAGTAATTGTTATACTCCAGAAACTTCATTTTCGTGGATGCCACAAACTATGTTGAATTGGTTGAGACTCAATTAGATATTCATTGAAAAATTATAGCAAAATATGCTGCAGTTTAATAAACTTTTTCTGGTACTTTCCATTATCCTGGCAGAGCCCAAAGGAGGGCCTAGCTAGCGGATAGTCCAATTTACGGGGAGAGGTTGAAGGAGTAAAACAATTTCCCCCACTTTCCTGTTACTCCCCCCACCCATGTCGCCACTATAGAAATAACTCTCATTTATGACATGGAACATGTGTGGGTATGCGGAGAGGGGTAATGACCAGCAAAACAGGGGAAATGATTTTCCTCCTTCAACTCCCCCCTCCTGTAAAATGGACTATTCTTCTCTATCTAGGCCCCCTTTTGGAGTCTAATGGAACAGTACCCTTTTTCATGCTTTTATGATTGAACCAATTAGGAAATGACATTTATATCCCAGGAACAAGAATTGTTACACATGGTAATGCACATCATTCTGGATTTTACAGCTTGTGTAGCTGGGCCCTGAGAGGTTATTTCCCAGCCCCATATTGCTGCTACAGAGCCATTTCAGAGCTGGGACTGAGGCCAAAGTGCCACCCCAGGGCCCTTTGACATAGCCCCCAAACCTGGGTTAAACTGAGGCATCCAAATGAAACCTCAGGTTAACCTAGGGAAATAGCTGCTTGACCCAGAGGTCATTTAGCCGCCCGCCTCCTTCAAAAGAAGGTGTTTAGACCAGCTGTGTGGCCTCAGTCCAGAGAAAAACTGGAACATAAAATCCAGTTCCTCTGGGGATGTGGGCCTGTGTAGCAGGGGGCGCCCAGAGGCAGGCCTGTAGCGAGGGGGGGGGTTTATGCCCATCCACCTCCAAACACCTACCCTTTTCATCTGGTCATGCCCAGCACTTTTTAATTTTAATTATTACATTTGCCCCTGCCACAGATTTTAATTGCGTTATTTATTTATTTATTTATTTATTATTTGAACTTATATGCCGCCACTCCCCTGGGGCTCGGAGCGGCTTACAAGAACAGGCTAAAATCAAACACAATTTAAAACAATTTAAAAACGATCAGAGACCAAAGGCCCATTGAAATAGATATGTCTTCCATGCCCTGCGAAAAGCTGATAAATCCCGCAAGGCACGAACTTCAGGTGGCAGAGATTCCAGACTGATGGCGCCACTGCTGTGAAGGCTCTGCGTCTGGTTGCTATTAGACGCAAGGTCTTGACACTGGGGACTTCTAATAGATCTTGGTCATTGTGTGTTGTTAATGTTATTGCCTTGTTTTTGAGTTATTTTGCTGTATTGTTGTTGTTTTTTTACTGTTGTATTTGGGCTCGGCCTCTTGTAAGCCGCACCGAGTCCTCCGGGAGATGGTAGCGGGGTACAAATAAAGGATTATTATTATTATTATTACTGTCATTGTGGGGTGTGTGTGTTGAATGCTCTCATTAAGGAGGCCAGACTTGGTAGAGGTGGTTGACAGGGGCGGAGCTGCAGGCTATTGAAGGCTGCTCTGCCCCCTGCTGTGCTCTTTGCTTCAGCGTGAGCTAGGAGGCAGGTTTCAACCCCCCCCCCGCGAAATTTTCAACCCCCCCCCGAAAATTTCCACCCCTCCCAAAAAAATTTTCTGGCTACGGCCCTGCCCAGAGGCAGGCCTGTAGCGAGGGGGTGGTTTTAGGGGTTCAAACCCCCCCCCCCGAAATGTTTCAGATTTTTTTAAAAAAAACATGGTTTACTCATGAATTTTAACTGGTTAACCAAATCCCCATGCTAAGTCTATGAGATGCAAAAAATTAAGAGTCCCTCCAGAACTGTAAGCACTATCTCAAGCAAATATTGACAATTTATTCACACTGTCATTACTTGCAGCAATAGCCGATGTAGTGAAGCAACCAAGTTGGGGGTGTGTGTGTTGAATGCTCTCATTAAGGAGGCCAGACTTGGTGGAGGTGGTTGACAGGGGCGGAGCTGCAGGCTACTGAAGGTTGCTCTGCCCCCTGCTGTGCTCTTTGCTTCAGCGTGAGCTAGGAGGCAGGTTTCAACCCCCCCCCCTGAAATTTTCAACCCTCCACGAAATTTTCAACCCCCCCCCCAATTGTCAACCCTCCCCGAAATTTTTTTCTGGCTACGGCCCTGCCCAGAGGCCTTACCTGGCGGGGGCTGCAGCTGCGCTTCCCCCCAGCCCCCCACCGGCCCCGCTCCTCAGCAGCCCCAAGCGCCGCCACAGGAACAGCACGTGCGGGGGAATGGGGCCCTCGCTCTTCCTGCTGGCACGGGGTTCCTTCGGCGAGGGGGCGCCAAGGCTCCGGAGAGATGGCACGAGCAGCTGGTGAGCGCCGTGGGGACGAGGCAGGCCTGGGAAGGTGGAACAGTGCTTTGCCCCTTTATTTGTCGAGTCAGAGCAACCAGTCCATTATATACTACATTTCTAACAGGACAAAGCAAACAGACAGAAAAATACACATCTTGTGAGTTTGGTAGTTGGTTAAATGTCCTTTGACCAGTATCTGGCCACTTGGAGTGCTTCCAGTGTTGCTGCAAGAAGGTCCTCCATGGTGCATGTGGCAGGGCTCAGGTTGCATTGCAGCAGGTGGTCAGTGGTTTGCTTTTCTCCACACTCGCATGCCGAGGATTCCACTTTGTAGCCCCATTTCTGAAGGTTGGCTCTGCATCTCATGGTGCCAGAGCGCAGTCTGTTCAGTGCCTTCCAAGTCGCCCAGTCTTCTGTGTGCCCAGGGAGGAGTCTCATTTGGTATCAGCCATTGGTTGAGGTGCTGGGTTTGAGCCTGCCACTTTTGGACTCTCGCTTGCTGAGGTGTTCCAGCGAGTGTCTCTGTAGATCTTAAAAAACTATGTCTAGATTTAAGTCGTTGGCGTGCTGGCTGATACCCAAACAAGGGATGAGCTGGAGATGTCTCTGCCTTGGTCCTTTCACTATTGGCTGCTACTTCCCGGTGGATGTCAGGTGATGCAATACTGGCTAAGCAGTGTAATTTCTCCAGTGGTGTAGGGCGCAGACACCCCGTGATAATGCGGCATGTCTCATTAAGAGCCACATCCACTGTTTTAGTGTGGTGAGATGTGTTCCACACTGGGCATGCATACTCAGCAGCAGAGTAGCACAGCGCAAGGGCAGATGTCTTCACTGTATCTGGTTGTGATCCCCAGGTTGTGCCAGTCAGCTTTCGTATGATATTGTTTCTAGCACCCACTTTTTGCTTGATGTTCAGGCAGTGCTTCTTGTAGGTAAGAGCACGGTCCAGAGTGACTCCCAGGTATTTGGGTGCGCTGCAATGCTCCAGTGGGATTCCTTCCCAGGTGATCTTCAGAGCTCGGGATGGTTCTCTGTTCTTGAGATGAAAGGCACATGTCTGTGTTTTAGATGGGTTGGGGATCAGCTGGTTTTCCCTGTAATAGGCAGTAAGAGCACCTAGAGCTTCGGAAAGCTTCTTTTCTACCAACTCAAAGCTCCCTGCTTGAGCAGTAATGGCACAATCATCAGCATAGATGAAACTCTCTGTCCCTTCTGGCAGTGGCTGGTCATTTGTGTAGATGTTGAACATGGATGGGGCAAGCACGTTCCCCTGAGGCAGGCCGTTCTTCTGTTTCCGCCATCTGCTTCTCTGGCCCTGGAACTCAACAAAAAAGCTCCTGTTTTGTAGCAGGTTTCCTATGAGGCGGGTGAGGTGGTCGTCCTTTGTGACTTTGCCCCTAAGGAAAAGGCGAGTAGGCGGGGGGCTTTTTGTGGGCGGGAAGATGCCCCTAAGTCACGCATCCGGCATCTCCTTCTCGCGCCGCGGGACCCCGCTTTGTTTGTCTTTTTCCTTCTTGTAAGGACCGTCAGAGGGACGCGTCGAAATAGGCGCGCACCGTGGGCCTCTCCCTCTCCATTTTCTCTCAGCGCTTGGAGAACTTTGGCGCCTTTGGGCTGGAGAGAGAGAGAGAAGGTCAGAAGCGGAGACCAGCCCGCTCCCGCTCTCTTCTCCTTCGGCAGCCAACCCTCTCGCCTCGAGCAGCGCGTGCCGTCGCCCGCCCGCCCGCCTGCCTACCCTCCATGAGCGCGAGCCCCAGCAGAGAGGCGCGCGAGAAGCCCAGGGAAGGGCGGGGGCTGAAGGAGGGCTTTTTGGAGGCGCGCGAGGCTCAGCCCCGGAGCAGGTGCCGAGGCTCCCACGCACCGGAGGAGCAGCAGCAGCCAGGCACCGCGAGCCCCGCGCCCCTTCCCTGCCTTTCCCAGGGAGGGAGGGAGGGAGGGAAGGAGAGAGGGTGGGGCGCAGCCTTGGACCCCCGTTTCCATAGCAAATGATTCACTCCTTTATTGGTTACGTTTCCCCGAGTTCTCCCTCTCCGTTGGGCCGAAAGAGGATGACTCCCCCTGAGGCAACCAGGTGGGTTTCACGGCTCAGGTGGCGCCAGACCCCAGACCTTCCACACGCCAGCGAGACTACTACACCAGAAAGAGCGCGCTCCTCCTCGGATTCTGTTTCTCCTTTGCGTCCTCCTCCATAGCGTCCTCCTTTTGTTAGAGAAGGTAGGTTTACTCCCGTTGTGGGGCGAGCATGCCAGTTGGTTGTGTGAGGAAACTAGAGATGGATGCGATCCTGCGCAGAATATCTTTGTGTGCCTTCAAATCACCTGTTGACTTACAGTGACCCTATGCATTTTATAGCTTTTGCCATAGGCAAGGAGTACGCAGAGGTGGTTTGTCTTAGACAAGGAATACAGAGATGGTGTTTTGCCTCTTGAACATCGCCTGCCTTAGAGCAAGGCTTCTTGAACTTTTTCAGTTCTCGACCCCTTTCCACACAATACGTTTTTATTCCAGCCCAGATAGTTAAATCAAACGTGCACTGAAAATAAATCAGCATTTGCAAGGCTGGTTTTCCTTTTTATGAAGTGTTTTCTGCAGAGTCCATTGTAAACACTGTGTGTTGCTGCTCACAGATTTGTGTAAATAGGTGACATTTTAGTGTTGTCAAATTTTTCACAACTGCAGTACTGAGCTAAGGGAACCCCATTTGGGGTCAGGACCCACACGCTAAGAAGCAGTGACCAAGAGCACCAGTAGTCCATAGGGGTTACTCATTCAAGTGTTAACCAAGGTTGAATCTACACGGCCCTATATCCCAGGATCTGATCCCAGATTATCTGCTTTGAACTGGATTCTATAAGTCTACACTGCCATATAATCTGGGATAAACAGATAATCTGGGATCAGATCTTGGGATATAGGCCAATGTGGAGGGGGTCCAAGCCTGACTGCTTAGTTTACAAGATCCGTGAGGATCTGGTGTGTTGAGATTTAGACCACTTTGTGGAATGCAGTTTCCAGGATGTCTGTGTCCTGGACCTCTTCTGTATGTAGAGTAGCTAGCACTTCACTTTCTTTAAGGACCGCTAGAAAGTCACTTCTGGAGTTACAAGCCGCCTGGTAATTTTTAAAACATTTACACTGCCTTTGAAAATGCACTGTCATAGGATTTTGTCATTTATTTTTGAACATATGCATGCCATCAACATACTAGGGAGAAAAATGATGCAAACAGACTCATCTTTTCATGTTAACATATGAAAAAAAATCAGTGCTTTCCAGGGAAGAAAGATTAAAAAATGACCACTATTGCTGGTCATATTTATGGTAGTCTGATGGGAAAAGTTATTCCCTTTCTTCAGATGCAGAAGTGAGGTTATGAGACAAGGGTTTGCACAAAGTCAAAGGTTAGCTTTGTTCCTATAGATTCATCACTAACTTTGCAGCACTGAATCTAACACTTTAACTGCAGATGTAAATTGCCTCAAACGCTTGCGTGTTTTTGAAGGATATGGAAATGTTACTTGTTGTTATTAATCTTCAAATGCTTATTCAGACATATAAGCCATCCTTTCTGTGAAGAGCTTCTGCAAACTGTATTAAAGTTTATGGCTGAATTTGAATTTAAGCCCATATTGCTTGACACCTGCAGGACCTACAAACCTATGAGTAGTCCCAGCACTTTGTGTATAGTGGATTAGGTCAAAGAAAATGGCATTTAAACCTTGTCTAGCTTTGCATTTCAGTCTGGAAAATAGAGATGGTTTTCTCATTCTGCTGCCATGAGTTGGGTCAGTTCCAACTCTGCTGACCTGTTGCCCTGGAGACTAAGACGCAGAACAATGTCTTCAAACTATAGGAAATGAGATTCCACCTGAACATGAGGAAGAACTTCCTAACTGTTAAAGCTTTTTCAGCAGTGGAACTCTCTGCCCCAGAGTGTGGTGTAGGCTCCTTCTTTGGAGGCTTTTAAACAGAGGTTGGATGGCCATCTTTCAGGGGTGCTTTGAATGTGATTTTCCTTCTTGGCAGAATGGGGTTGGACTGGATGCCTCACAAGGTCTCCTCCAACTCAGTGATTCTATTATTCTATAAATGCCAGCATTTCCCCTTTCCTACAGATTGTAGAGGATGTCCTTTTCATTTTATTCTTAAAATCATGTAAATAAGTTTGCAGAAATTAGTTCCTTGGTAATCAGCCAGTTGATAGAGGAGAATTACAGTCCTCTAAATGGTTGTATAGGATTTTAGCCTTCATTTGTTAGGCTTGTTTGCCTGACTGATTTTTGGTTAGAAAAATATGAGCAACAAAGGGTGCAGATTTGAAAGTGTGATATTAAAAACCCATTTGTTTGAAGTGGTTTGAGATGGAATTTATTATTCAAACTGGTTGGGAGAACACAGTAAAAGGTAGACAAGGGATCTGAAAGAGAATTGAGATCCAATAACAAAGTATTCTGCTTCTACAGATGTCTGTAATGACATTCTGATATTAATGGTATTCTGGTGTGCATGGAGTTTGATAAGATGTCTTGCCCCTAAACCATTGCAGGCAGTCTTTGTTTTGTACTTATTTGCCTAAACATAGATATTTGCACAATTAATGAGATAATGAGCATTTCACAGAATACTTTGAAGCTCACTGACCTTGGGCAAGTCTGTCATTTGAAGTCGCTTTTAGATTGCATATATCACAAGAAAACAAAATTTGTTTTCAGTCCAAGACTGTCTTCAAGAAAAGTACCTTTCCTAAAAATGGGATGTATTGCCTTCATGCTTAGGATACAATGAATAGTTTAGCAAGCTGTGTGTTAGCTTGTAGATGCCAAAGTTGTTTATGCTAAACCAATTCTTGGAAAGTTTATGGACAGTGAAACAATTGTCTCATTTGGTATCCTATTTCATGGTGATGGCAACCTCATAGCTATGGAATGTATGCACTTACACCTAAGGCTTGAATATATTTACTTTTACCAATGAGTCTGAGGGATTGAATTGCAATTCATGAAAGTTCATGCTGAAATAAATTTACTAAAGATGCCAGAAGACTCCCCTGACACCTTCATGAATAATGCTTTTTGTATTGAAATAGACTTAACTTGGTTGTCTCTTTGATATTAGTTTACATGATGTTTATAGCTGGGGCTATCCCAACTGCATATAGAATGGGAAAGCAAGCTCACTCTCTCTATATGTGTGAGCGTGAGGGATATGAAAGGCTGACTGGGCCATGCAGTTGAGGAAAACTGAACTCTGAACTCTTACCCTGCAATTGGTTGTCCAAACTAAGTTTGGTCCGATACTGGGTGTGAGACTGTCAGGAGGAGTGAGGATTCAAGCTAGGACTGCAGGAATGATAATGGTATGAACTCATCAGCCCCAACCCCAATTTACATGGGTTTAGGTTAGACCATAAGTTGTAGAATGAGTCTGCCTCTTTTTGTACAGTTTAATTCTACCTTTGAGGTCCTAAATACTGCTCTGTATTCCTAGAAGGATTATTCCAGTTCAATTAGAGGTTTGTGTGTATGTGTATAAAAAAGAAATAAAGAAACAGGAAAATCTTGCTACTTTTTCACTGGTTTCCTAGGTGAATCTTGTTCACCTTGTCAACTTTAATCAAGACAACAGTCTATATATTTTACTGTACTGCACTTTATTGTATTATTTATGAACAAGTCGCTGACCTGCAAATCACATAAAATGAGCCAGGGAAGAGTAGGTGGCACTATGTTGATTCATGCAAAGAAATGTGGTGAAGAGGAGCAGCAGACTGACTTAATGGTAAACTGAATGATTGGGGGAATTCATAGATGTTCTGGCTAAATGACAAGCATCATAATTATTCCAAAAAAGAGGTAGCAGACATTCTGGAAAATAGGGTAAAGCTGGATAAGATGCAGTTCGGAAGAGAAGAACTGTGGAGTGATGCATTGAGCAAATAGGGTTTCTTTAGTAGGACTGTACACTGAAATTGACATTCTAGGTTAGGGCCCAATCCAGTTTAGCTTTATTTGAAAGCTAGAGATTTTGATTTGGGTCTGAATCAGACAACCTGAAATTTTGTATGTCTCCCCACTGTACATAATGAGGAAGGCACCAAATGGTGATACTTGTTTTGGCTTTTTAAAAAAATGAAAATTAGGTGATAATGTCCAGGCACAGCAGGCTCTTGTAAATCACTGTGCCCTATCCACATAAGTTTCATGGAAGCTTTTAAAATTGTGATTTTTTGTAAAAGCAATTGTGTTTTAAGTATTTTGGGTTCAGAACTAGACGAAACTTTGAGGTATTTGAAGATATAATTGTCACTTTTGACAGATTGAACTCCAACAAATTTCAGACTGGAATACCTCCACTGCACCGCTTTGATGAAGCCCCACTGTCATAGGCAGTTCAATTGTGGAAAGAGAAAAAAAAAATCATGAACGCAGCGGAGGAAGTAGTGTTGTGTGATTTTAGTACCTGCAAGAACCACAGGTTTGTGGGGCTGGTTTGTCTAGCTTCGCAGAATGCCAAATGAGACACAGATGGGTAAAAGGCAAATGAGAGGTTTATTCTCAATAGCCGGAGAGGATGTCAGCAGAAAAAACACTCCAAAGAACTGACATACCACAATTGGGAATACACAGCATATTTATTACATTTTGACAGCTATTCAACTCTACTGTGCTGGCTCCAGATTGACTTAGAAACTGCCTGTCCAGGATCCATTACCTGAATGGTCCAGGGCTCCAGCCAATGTCATTGCTGGGTGGTTCTTCTTTCGTGAGAAACTTTAATAAGCTGTCATGAGTTTATTTTATCTGTTTGTTTATGGATTTACAGTTGAAAATTAATGCAGTGTGGCAATTGATAATGAACAGTGTCCTGGTTCCCATGAGACAAAGGTGATAGTCCAGTGGATGTGTTAGGATGATGACCATTTTAATGGATATCGCAAGGATGGAGCCAGCTATGGGCATAGAAGAGGAAATGTTCCCAGATCATATAACATGAAACAAGAAAAAAAGACCCATAGCTCTGATGCAAGCCGATTGTGTGTTCCCAGCCAAGTCTCCCTTTCAAGAAGGCCCAGATCTAATGGGGTATCGAATTAATTTGTTTTTACCGGAGACATCTTTTGGACCCTGTGTCTACTATTGAAACTTGGAGCTATTTGCAGTGAAACTCTAGAGACTATACTTTTTTTTCCAAATTGTCACAAACCTTTTACTAGA